CTTCCAGGTACAGTCATTCAAATATTAACATATAGCCAATCTTGTTCACTTGTTACATCACAATCTTTTATTTATATCAATTTCTTTGATGAGACATTTTCAACTATTAATTTTTTTTTTTACTTATATTTTTTTTCATTTAAAATTCTTCCATCTCGATGCAATGAACTTCCAGATGGTGAAGAAAAGGTTAGGTAGGGGCTGGATAATTTGACAATATATCGACCCTTGCAAATGTATGTCTTCTAAGATAAAAATCACAATGAATTATTAGAGAGTTAAACAGGGGTCATGTTTATACCTGGATGCAGACAGAAATGTTATACAAATGCTATAAACCTATCCATTAATGACTTAGATAATTCATGAGGAAGTCCTTGATAGCAGCCATCACAAAAGTAAAATAAAGTGTTCTTCTGCCTATAATTAGTCCTATTTAATAGCTGTTAGAATCGGTTATCATGTAAGAATTACATAAACCAGAAATAACTGGCCTTCCTACCCACAATCCCTCAGTGACAAACATGTAAATAGTTGGGCCACTCATTCACCAACATTATTTTTTTAATCAATTCACCCCAAGAAGGACTATAATGCCAGTAAGACGCAAAGAGCTACTAGGATTGAAAGATGACTTTAGATAGAACCAGAAACCCAATCCTAACAGGAAACAAGGGATAAACCTCTACATCTGTTCAAAAGACCAGGGAGGAGTGTTAACCCAATGATAAAGGAATCTATCTACTCCTATTAATGAACTGAGGATTGTATTTAAGCATGAAACAGACTGTCAGCATTTATTATTGAAACCTATGTCCATGCTGCTTATATATGAGGGTTGGCTAAATGTAAGTAGACGCATCAGTTGGTAGGCTAAAAGACACTTGAGTGTACCAAAATACAACAGTTGGTCAGCTACCAACTGGCCTGTCTGCTTGCATTGATATCTCGATCAGCCTATGAGCATTTCAACTGACCTTCATATATGTATGAGAGGGCAGGAGAGGCAGGGATGGTGTAGACATAGTTACTTTGGTTTCAACTGGAGTAGAGCCATTGAAGTTATAATTACTATGCCACCAAATTCTCTATAAATAATGTAAATAATGATAACAGTCCATTACAGAAACCGTAACTGCAGTTGTATTTTTAATGCCAACTATCAATAGACAAGGTTTCACTTTTTACCTCTGCTCACCAACTTTACCATTATTTAGGGTTTGGCATGCCAGCCTCCTTCACAAGCTTCAGGGATATGGTGTTTCAGGACGATTATTTGACTTAATACAATCATTCCCATCAAACAGTGTAATGAATGTCATCCTTAACGGATTCTCCTCCAGTTCCTTTCTCACGAACGCAGGTGTTCCCCAAGGCTCTATCCTGGGTCCTACACTGTTCCTTATTGTTATGGTAATTTACCCACGCACACATGTACTCTCCCAGCTATAAATAGGAGCAGGTACTGCCTTTTTGGAGAAGGAAGTTTCAAGCAGTCAGCTCTGACAGTTGGACTGAACATTCTTGCTATAACACTCATTTGTATATGTTTGTATTACTGTTTCTGTTAATAGATTTGTTTAATTCAATTCCTCTCTTTATGTCTTTATTTTTGGCCCTAACAAAGCCACAAAATTTATCTTCATTAACAATCTTCCCGATGTCATCAGATCCCAATTAGGTACCTATGCAGACGACACCACTGTTTACTCCTGCCTAAATAGCAAATGTGGTATCGCTGACAAAACTAACATGGCCGTTGGCTGTTGTTGACTGGGGCAGGAAATGGCTGGTTAACTTTAATGCCTCAAAAACAAAACTACTCTATTACTCACTACAGAGAACCCTCTCTGACTCCCATTAGAATGTCTGATGCTCAACTCCACAAGAGCACCTCTTTCTGACTGCTTGGTCTCACACTGTCCGCTGACCTGAGATGGAACAATTACATTGAATCAATAGCTTCATCTACTGCAAGGAAAGTTGCTATGTTGCATCAAAGTTTTTCTCGCTCGAGTCTATCCTTCAATCAACCATTCACCCTTGCATGGAATATTGCTGTCATATATAGTCCGAAGCCTCTGCTGTTCATCTTAGGGTCCTTGACAAAATCCTGAAACGGATATGCAATGTGGTTTGCCCCTGATCTGGCATCTCATTTACAGTTGCTCTCTCACAGACATGCCGTCACCTTTCTCTGTCTTTTCTACAAATACTTTCATGGTAATTGCTCCGACAAGCTATTTTTGCCAATTCCCAAATCAGCATCTCAGTCCCACCCTTTCACTGTTGAAACGGTTAAATGTAGTTGTCTCTTCTACTCCAATAGCTTCATGTCTCACACTTCACATCTGTGGAACTCCCTTCCTCTTACTTGCTTCCCTGATGGCTATAATCTCCAACTATTCAAATGCAATGTCTATCAACATCTCCAGATGATCTATTCCCCATCCTTCTCTTCATCATTTCCTGTTTCATGCCTCTTTACTCTTGCTCCCACACTCTGTAACCCCTTGCGTGCTAGTGGCACTCTCACATTGCTTGGGGTGAAAAGTTTTTAAAAAAAATTCACTAATTCTAGGCTCAGTTTTGTCAAATTTTCCAAGAAAAAGAATTGATGATTATACAACCAATTTTTAACCTAACCTGCTAGCAAATTACAATACTCAATTTGTATGCTGTCCATTGGAAATCAGTTAGAAAGGGATTGCCATGAATTAATGTAAGTGTTACTGATAGAAGAGTGCTATTAGACACATAATTACTTGTAGCAGTGTTCTACTATCCTGCTTTGGGCTAGAAAGGATAGGAATTTGTAGAGAGCTATATTTGCCCACAACATGAAAAGATATGGTATGTATTTTACTATAGAAATGCATTGATAATCAGGAAAATAGAGATTGTCAAAAATCAGTGTTACTGATATAACAGGGTGATTATATGAATAATTATTATTTTATAGCAGTGTTTTACTTTATTGTAAAAATATTGCATATTGTAAGATATAGGATAGGGAATTATGAAGGAATATGACATATGAAAGTATTGTAATTTAGTCCTTTTCTCATTGATTATTCTAAGAATAGAATAAAACAAGAATGTTGAATGGCTAAAGACCAATCACTGTCCCTGTAAGGGTTGTACAACACTGGCTATATAAGTACTAAATTTGGAGACCCATTCTCTTTTTCTTTTTTTCTTTCATCACATTAATCAGTAAGCCAGAAGAAACACTGTTCCCACACCACAAGCCCAGTCAGTGATATTAAGTTATGGAGGAATTGGGTTAGCAATCTCAAGAGAATTTACTACTACCTAAATAGTTGCGGGCTGAAAAGGACTTCTCATTCAACAAGATTGTTAATAAGATAACCTGATGCCTTTAACCTAAGCTAAGTCCACAGACACACATTGTCTGCAACCATTTCTTTTTATTTTTTCTCATTCTCCTATTTGTACATTAAATATATTTAATAGTGCAGGTTGTTTTTTTTTCTCTTCAAAAACTTTCAACTAGTTTATTTGAACAGTGACAACTTAGCACTTACCCTCCATAGACTTAAGATTGTATCTTGCTGAAATATTGTGCATATAATCACCATAAATGTTATAGTTTTATTACAGAAACAATAATGAGGGATTGTCAGTGGTAAGAAATTAAGGGCTATTTTATCTATAATTATTTTGTAGTAGTATTGTAGTATATTGCTTAGAGCTACAAAAGATAGGAAGTTGAGGAGAACAATGATCGCCATGTCTTAAAGGGAAATGGTACATATTTTACTATAGAAATATATTGATAATAAGGAATTATCAGTGGTCAGGTATTAAAGTCTACCCCAGTGAGCAAAATGAAGGGTTCAGTTCGACATTCCAACCACCTGAAGAAGGCCTGGAGTGTACAACGGCCGAAATGTTGTAATAAATATGGTGAAAAAGATGAGAACAGTAGTCCCAATAATGTAAATAGTGAACATAATACCTCATCTCAGAAATCTTCACAGTACTTGACTCCAGTTTGGAGGTTAACTATTTAGTAGTACATATGCTAATTTTATATCTCATGTATGTTGTGACCCCCTTAAAATTAGCTTCTAAATTAGGTCTTCAAAAGTCGCATAATATGAGAGTATATACAATATATTAAGACTATTGTCCTCATCTTTGTTGTTGTGCATGCCGGGCTTTCTCAGTTGTACCTGGGTAAACTACAAGGAATTTTGAACTGAATATTCTTTCACTTGTATATCCACCTAAGTGGGGAGTAATGGTTAATGAGGTTAGTTTGCTTGACCATTACTGAATAGGGAGTTTGATCATCACTGAGTGCCCCATACAAAATTAAATAATCCAACATGGTTTCTGTCTGAATTTCTAGGATGAGGATTTATTATTTACAATATTTATATTCAGACTATTGTCCTCATGTTTGTTTTCCAGCTTATGGCCACATCACATTGAAATACCATTTCCTGTACAATAGCCAAAGTTAAGCAATGCTGAGGTTGGATGAGTGACTCGACAAGTGTACCTAGATGAGTGACTGGCTTGGGAATAACAGGTGTTGTAAGTTTGGATGTGCAGATAGTGTAATGGATAATGACACAGACTAAAACATCTGAATTATCTTTTGTTTTTTTCTTTAATTTAATCTAACAGAAAGTCAATTTAGAGTTGATTACAATCAAGACAACCACACCAGAGTTATACATAAAGTGAATGTAAAATATATTGATTGATTCATTCATTCATTTTCTACAGCTTATCAACCCTTTGCAGGTTATTTAAAGCCAGAAAATATTTTTGGATTGTAAGAATTTTTTTTTTGTTTGAGATAATGATATAAGTCTTACTAATTAACCCATATTTGGGGAGAGAAGAGGTGAATTCATATCTTTCTCAATGGTATGTGCTCATAATAACAAACCCAACTGAAATTGGAACTGCTCTCCAATTAACAATTCAAAGCCATTATCCATTACACCACCTACACATTCAAGCTTACAGCACCTGGTATTCCCAAGTGGTCACCCATCTAGGTACTGACCAGACTCAACATTGCTTAACTTTGGTGACTGGTGTTTCAATGTGAGTTGACCGTAAGCCCAACAACAAAGATTAGGAGAATAGTTCGAATATAAATAGTGTAAATAATGGTAACGCTTCATCCCAGAAATCCAAACGGAAAGTATGATATTCCTTGAAGCATTCTAAGCATAATGGTGCTGCACATTCTTTGCATCAAATTCTTACTATTTCTTGCATTTTCTTCTTGCGGAGTATGCATGCAGACAATACATAGTCTTTGGTTTGTTCTTACAACTTTATTTGCAGACAAATATCCCAGGAAATAAATGCCAATTAGTCATTTAGATTCAAATCGTGATTAAATGATGCTTATGCCATTGGAAAAAGTTTCAATCCTCAACCGATTGATATCTATTGATCTCTATTGAAATATCAATTGATGATAACACCATTTAAAGGTTAGAAATCTTTGTAGGTTTAATTAATTAACTGTAATTCATTCACACCGAATACAACATACATACAGCCTTTCCTTTAATTACAAAATGAACATGTCTGAACACCTAAACAAATATGTCAAGTTTTTAGCTTTTTTTTTTTTCTTTTTAATTATTATTAAAAATTGTCAATAAAACAATGATTGAAAACATGGAAATAAAATCATTCCACAGTAACTTGATTAGTTAAAAATCTGTAAATACATAAAGTTGTGGATAAATCTGAAAGGAAATGGCACTGAGAGAAAGAGAAGTCTTAAGAAAGAATTCTATGACAAAATGTTGTGATACCATTAGAATAATTTCATTTAAGACTTGCAAAAATTAAATATTTCTGTTTATAAAAAGCATTTTTGGTCATTTCCAATAACATTGATTTTTTTTTTCTGTTAAACTATACATTGAAATTCTAAAAAGATTTGTTTAATGATTTTTCATTTCTGATTTTCAAAGTGACTGGGGTCAGTGAGGTTTCTAGATAGATTGGGACAGTGGGTAACTCTGGAATGAAGCAATTAGGTAGACTTATTTTTTCCAGAAAAGTCGGACAGAAAAACCTGAATCCGAGAGTTGGGTTAATTAAGGTTTATCTCAATCTTGTCATGAAATAATTTTATTTCCATGCGTTTTTTTTTTTTTTACATTATTTTCACACAAAAAAAAAAGTTTACTTTTATCCCACAGTGTGAAATCTATTTTATATATATATATATATATATATATATATATTTATTACACAAAAAGCAGCAGCAACAGAAGTAACAATAAAAAGAATTGAAGTTAAAAAATAAAATAAAATCCAGAAATTTTTTTTTTTTTAAAACTGCTTCAATGTGTCTTTGTTGTATATTTTTTAAAAAAACATTTCTAATTTTTTTTTTCTTAGGGTTCACCAAGAAGCAAATTTAGGTCAGGCAAAAATTTGACCCACATTACACTGTAGGGCAAAGGACTTGAATTGGGGGTGCTGGGTGACATTGATAATAGAAAATAACCAAAAATTTGAAAAGGTTTGTTAACCCCTATCCCCAGAAAGCTATTTTGGAGTTATATTCATTTACACACACATACTCTTGGGAAAGGTATGAATCCATCTCCTCTCTCCAGCTATGGGTTGAATAGCAGGAGAGACTGGATTCGTTAGCCTTGGTTGGCAACCAGTCTACTGCAGAAAGAAATGGCAACTACTGTGGGAAAAATCTTCTCCCTCATTAGTCATGTATCAAGAGATACATGTTTGAGCAATCATGTAACTGACTTAAAGGTAGAGGAGGGGTGCCCTGCCAAATTTAAAAATTCCATCTTCATCTATATGCCTTATATCTTCAGGACATGTACAATCATGGTTCTCCACAATTTTCTGTCTTTTGTAGCTTTACAGCAATGTTTGTCTTTTTTTTCTATCTCCTAATCTCCGTTTTGTCAACCAAAAGCTTGTTAGGTAGGTTATTTGCTGCTTTCTCCTGCTTTCAATATATCCTGTGAGTGTTCAATTTTCCAAGCCCTCTTTCCTCATTATGTTCTCTAGAAATTTCAGTTGTCTCTTTCTGATTCTAAGTATAAGTATCCTTTTTGTTTCCATTTTCTCTAAAACTTTGTTGGTCACATGCCCAGTCTTGTATTCTCAGCATCCTTCTGAGGAAACACGTTTCTGGTGGCGAAAGTCATTTCTTCATCTGAGAGGAGATTGTCCAGCATTTACTGCCATAGCTGAGTATGACTGATGTTACACAACAGTCAATACTCTTTTCTTTGTTTCTAATGAAAATTTTCTGTTTCTTAACACTTTGTTTAACTTTTGGAAAGTATATTTTACTATTCCAATGTGCTTTCGGATTTCAGTGTTGCCTTTTCTTTCCTGTTAAGCTTGATTTTGATGTCTCCAAGTTGTAGTTTGCATTTTGGCTTGTCCCTTTTGTTAACAACCATGCATTCTATCTTACAATTGATGCTTAGTCTTTTCTTCTTGCTTTCTTTTACTACCTTCTGTAGGAATTTTCTTTCCATGTCTGCTAACAACACTGTCCCATCTGTATATATTTTTTAATCATTTCACCCCAAGCATACCAATAAAGCCACTAAGATGCAACAGGGTTACTAAGTGTGAAAGAATGTGAGAAAAATGAAACATTAATGTGAGAGAACAATAAAAGAAGTGGATCTTATGTTGCTAAGATTGTGGCTGCCAATAATGAATCCTGATAGGACTTCAGAATCACCTCATTTGAAAGGTTGAATAAATCTGATGAGAAGACACACCCTAACCTTGCACCCCTATTTACTTCGTCTTATTTTAAAAATTCATTGGGTCTGGCATTTTGATGTCAGTATCATCACTTGTACATAATTTTTCAGCCTAAATTTTGTATTTTTAACTGCTAAGACTACAATTAAAAAGAATTTATCTAAGCTTAATATAAAATTTATTATGCTTACTTCAAAAACAATTCAAGAATTAATACAAAACAATAAACTAAAACTTGAAGGAGGAATTTACTCTGTCACCTGTAATAATTGCCACAAGGAATTTTTTAAAAAATTATATGAACACAAAAAGGGATCTTTTACAAAGCAACAAACTAAATGCATTAGCTGCTCACCATAATCAGTCTACCATAATTTTGATTTAAGAAATGCTAGTCTAAAAGAGAAAATGATTTACTAAGATGAATATGCATAGAAAGTGCTTTAATTGCTAGATCACCCACATAAATTTATGTCCAGATTGTTACAGCATTTCCCCTTTCTTAGCAGATCTTCTTTTATCACAATGTGAGAGATTTAATAACAAAGTGATAAAAACAAAGAAAATGAAATCGGTTAGACTATATCGCCAACCACATATTAAAATAAATTTTTTAATTCAAATTTAAAAATTGAGAAGACCTCCTTTCCTTCATGTGCATGTGTAATCACATCAATGTAAACATCACTTTAGTCTGATGAAGTCCTAAAGAACGAAATGTGTCACACGAAAACTTTTTCCACTTTGTCATAGATTTTCCTAAAATTATTCTGATATATAAAAATTTATATATTATTTTTCCACACAAATAAACTTTAAAATAAATCACATTTTCTAGGGTTTTTTTCCAATTTTACTGACATCAGCATAATTGAAATATTTGCTAAATCTGATGTTTTCTTGTCAAATGTGGCTTGCTAGGATTTTTATTTCTAATGTTTTTTTTTTTCTTCCTTTGACTTGTTCTATTTTTAGTAATGTATCTGGTGTTTCAAATCAATACCTTAACTACAAAAAGAGAAGTATCAATTGAAAGTTGTGTGTGTGTGTGTGTGTGTTGGGGGGTTAGTCTTCCCTCCACTGCCAGTGTTAGCATAAGTTGATTTTTGCCAGTTTTTCTTTAAAAACACTTATTCCCCTTTCTCACCGGTGTTAAACAGATTAGCAGAGATTCTAAGCTTAATGTCAATTTTAAGAGTATTTATTTAAAATCTTGTTTCAAACAATTGAATTCTTTCTTTTTGAGAAGATTTAGTTGGTTGTTTTTGTTTAGCAACATATCAACAGCTCTATGGGTCATTTAATACTGAAACCTAAATATTTTGTACATAAAGTTATTTTTACACTATTTAAATTGTTCAAACTATTGATCTCATCATTATTGTTATATTCATGATGTTTCAGCCATTGTACATACCAGCCTTCATCAGGTGATATATGTTGGAATTTCGAACTGAACCCTTTACTAGAACAATCTACTCTGGTGGATGAAATAAAGGGTTTGGTACAAAATTCCAACTTATATCAGATGAAGAAGGCTGGAGCATATTACAATGGCCAAAATGTTACAAATATAACAATAAAGATGAGGACAATAGTCCGAACTGTGTAAATAGTTAAAATATTTAGAAATACAGACAAATATTCATTTTTATTTGGGGGGGGGAGATAATGGTTTTAGGGATACAAGTTTTACTATTTAACCCATAGCTGAGGTGAGAAGATGTGGATTTATACCTTTCCCAAAGATATTTGTGTATAAGTAAATATAATGAGCAGAATCAGAATTGAAATTCAGCTCTCCAATTAACAATTCAGAGTTATTATCTATTACACCACCCACATATACAAAAGCCAGTTGAGTACTAGGACTCACTCTTTCTCCAAATTCCATTAGGGACTATTCATAAAGTAAAATTTACTGCCTAAATATACAGGGGTTGGACAAAATAATTGAAACTTCCACTCCTATATTTCAAAGACCTATTATATGAAGAACTTTAACTAAAACTTCGTAATTGCAGGTTATATCTATTGTAAATATGTTTATTTATCTAATTTACTGTCTTTGTCTTTTTTATTTTTAGAATTTAGTGAAATTTAAGCTAAATGCGTGACCACTCCGAGTTCAAAAAAAGGGCAAATTGTTGGAGCTTGCATGGCAGGAGCCTCGATCACTAAGGCTGCTGAACTGTTTGGTTTTTCAAGAGCTACCCTATCAAGAACTATGACGCAATTCAAGAAACAGAGCAAAACCTCTAGCAACTGAAGCAATTTGGGCTGGACTTGCAAACTTACTGGCAGGGACTGATGTGCATTGAAATGCAATGTGGCAAAAAAAATCATCAAACTACTGTGGCAAAAGTGACTGTTGAGTTGAATAATCATCTGAATAGTTACTACTAAAACTGTTCATCGTGAGCTCCATAAGGCTTCATATCATGGAAGAGCCACTGTAAGAAAACCTCTTCTCTCCACTCCCAACATTAAGAAGAGGTTGAAGTGTTGCAGAGATCACAATGCCTGGTCTGCAGAATAATGGAAGAAAGTCATATTCTCAGACGAGTCCAGTTTTTCTCTTTTCCCAACTTCAGGGCGAGTTTATGTGTGGAGGCAGCCCAAAGAAGCTTAAAACCCTGACTGCCTCCTTCCAACAGTGAAGCATGGTGGTGGATCAGTGATAGTTTGGGCCGCCATATCATGGAAATGTCTCAGTCCAATAGTTGCCCTGCATGGTAGAATCAACAGCAAAGATTACTTGAACATTTTGGGAGATCGTGTTCATCCAGTGGCCCAGACTTTATTCCATGATGGTGACTGCATCTTCCAAGATGATAATGCTCCAATACATACCATCCGAGTGGTTAAGAATTGGTATGAAGAGCATAAAAGTGAGCTAAAACACATGGAGTAGCCTCCCCAATCTCCAGATATTAATATTATTGAACATTTGTGGTGCATTTTGGACAAGTTAGGAGACACTATCCTCGACCATCATGTCTTAAAGAGCTGGATAAGGTTTTAATGGAAGAATGACTGAAAATTCCTCTGGGTGAAGTCAGGAAGCTGTATGATTCCATTTCTAGATGTATTAAAGCTGTCTGTGAGGTTAAAGGAGGACCATCTCCATATTAAATAAATTTTCTTTGAATTTAACAAGTGTTTTAATTATTTTGTCCAACCCCTGTAGGATATTCAAATAGATGATATTGTAATTACTCAAAATGTTATTTTTAGTAGCTACCTATGATTTTAAACAGTGTGAATTATGGTCTACAAACCTGGGTATTCAGAGAATTTCTTTAAGTCTCTCAAATGCACAGGCTGGTGGATATAATTCCTTCTGTCTACAAAAACAGGGTCTCTACTCAAACATGTTTATCCACTAAAATATAACATCTGGCATCTTGGCTTCAATCACTTTCCCACCTGCTGTAACGTAACTTCCCTGTGCCTTTTCTATAAATACTTTCATGGTAATTTTCCTGGTGAACTTTCTTCTATGTTATGAATTTAAGCACAGTACAAGATTGGCAGCAAGGATTCCTCGTTTTACTGTTGGAATGGCTAGATGTAACTGTAAGTTCTATGGTAAGAGTTTTTCTATCTCACTTCTCACTTATAGAACTCTCTTCCGGCGTCTTGCTTTCCTATCAACAGTGAACTTGAAAAATTTAAATGCAATGTCAATTGTTATCTTCTGTCTAATTAATTCTTGTTCTTTTGTTGCTCTCTCTCCTTAGTGGTTTTTTTTCCATATTCTCTCACACTTGGTAATCCCTTTCATGCTAATGGATATATTGCCCTTGCTTGGGGTGAAATGATAAAATAAATTCAATGTAATAAGAAATGATATTGGATTAAAAAAAAATAAAATCCCTGTTTATAATTTATTTGCTTGACTCTTTACAATGTTTAATACATATAGAAGTATTTTTACTTTTTATTCTCCCTTCACTTAATGCTCTCTCTCTCTCTCGTATATATATATATGTGTGTATATATATATATATATATATATAAAGACATTTTTATGTTTATACATTTTTTTTTATAGATACAAATATTTAAGTAAATGCTCTGTTTATAATAAACAGTATTAAACAACAATTACCGGCTTGAATGTCCGAGAAATTTTCATAGAAAATATTCGTCCTCCGACAGGATTTGAACCTGTATCTTATATGGAACTGTCATTTAGCTTGACATGCCTTTAACCAAATTGGTCACAGAGGAGCATTCGGTTATCAAGGTCGAATTTGAAAATTTCTCAGACATTCAGGCCGGTAAATGTTGTTTAATACTGTTTATTATAAACAGAGCATTTACTTAAATATTTGGATCTATAAAAAGAATGTATAAACATAAAATGTATTAAAATAATTGTCGGATATATATATATATATATATATATATATATATATGTTTTAAGGTGTGTTATGGGATAAAGTGTTCAATATCAGAGATAGAGTATGTAAATATAAAAGTGAACATTGAAGTCAACACTCAGAGGCAACAGACTGTTTCATGCTAGATGCAATTGTCAAGCTACATGACATGGGCTGGCAATTGCATCTAGCATGAAACAGTCTGTCGCCTCAGAGTGTTGACTTCAATGTTCACTTCTTATATATATGTCTGTGTGTTTACCTAAAACACTGTACATAATTTTCTTTAGCTAAAAGCACAATCCTTTTGATTCCAGCTTCCATGGATTCATTTAAATTGCAAGAAAATAATAAAGAATATCCCAAATTTCATTAAAAAGAAAAGGAGGTTGGGAGGTAAAGTAATAGAGAGAATATCATGAGAAAACATGTAAAAAATAACAAATTGGAGAAGCAGTTGCCCCCCCGCCCCAAAAAAAAACTTCTGGATCTTGGTAAGTGTCCATTAAAAAAAAAAAAAAAAATGTCTTACAGAGGTTATTAAAAAGAAAGAAAAGTCTGCAAAAATCAGAATTGTAAATATAAAATATTAGCAAATGAAAAAAAACAAAAAAAAAAACAAAAAAAACAAAAAAAACAAAAGCCATATTTATATATACATATATGCAGAAAAAGACACACATGCGTGTGAGTACGCGTGCAGTTCAGTAAAAGTTTCAGTCCAAGTACTTATATCGGTAGATCTTAGTTGTTAATTGCTGTAGATTGTTGAAGAAGTGATCATATTGGTTTCGAGGTACAGGAAATGAAGGCGATATTGAAGATAGGGGGTAGTGAGTGGTGTTTTATATGTATGGGGTGTGTAAGGGTGCTTTCTTTTTTTTTTTTTTTTCTTTTTCCTTTCTCTCGTGTTGATTTTAGACGGGCCGATGAATATAATATCTAACTCACCTGATTGACCCAGTAGGAAACATCCTCAGAAGTCCAGAGGGGTACCTGCTGGGTGAGTTTGTGTGGGATTTCTTCCCCGATGATACGTAGGGCTTCAATAGCCAGTTTCGATGCAGTTGCATTTGGACTGCTTGCAAGCCGCTTCAGGGGATTGATGCAGCCAATGTCGTAAAAGACCTGTCGAAAAGGAAAAGAAAAATATTTTCTTGATAAGCAAATAGAAATCCAATTGGATGTCTAATCAAAATGATTGTCATACAGAATAAGGGAATTTGACAGCAGCAGCAGGACACATGTAATACGTAAATCATCTAATATCAGTATCTTTTATTAATGAAAAACAAGTTACCTACTGAAATCATGACTTAGTCCTCTTCAAAGTGCTCCCCTTGGAATTTCCTGTAAGTGTAGATCTATCTGAAAAGTATCAAGCCATTTAATATCTATTTAAAATAGTCTACCAACAACAGAGGTACCTTAGTCTCCTTTGAAAGTACTTCCATTGGGACTTGTTTCAAGTACACAATGTCCGCCCTAAAAATATTCAGCTATTTAATATTAAAAAATTTTTTAAAAATAGCCTACCTAGGTCAGTGGGATGCTAATCTTCGTTAAAGTACTCACCTTGTAACCTGGTACAATGTCTGTCCGGAAAATATTCAGCCAATAAATATTTATAGGAAAATGCAAATAGCCTACCTAAACGCAGAGTGGACGATAGTTACATTTTCTGGGAGAGAGTTCACAATCTGGCATGATCAAAAATTTTTGAACAAGACCAGTATGCTAAAACCCTCGGTCACGATGACTTGTGAATTTGTGCTAGCACAACCATCAATGGCTTCCAAATGGTTCTATATACCCAATTTCACTTACAAGGCTTGCGTTACCCATGATATAGTTTTCAGGCACTTTTTGATGGTGCCTCGTGCTGGGAATCCCCCCTGAAAAAGGGCACATGTCTGAAAATTCCAACTTTAAAATCTTTCTCTTCATGCTTCAATTTAGTGAAAAAGGTTAATATATGATAAATATCATCACTTTTATTGCCAATATTGTTATCATTTTGTTGGCTTTTTATTCGTTAAATTTTATTAACCAGCCTATTAAATCTACATATTATAAGAAGCAGGAGGCATGGTGGATTAATGGATAGTGGCTCCGATTGAAGAATCGGAGAGCAGAGTTCAAATTCCAGTTGAATCCATTACATTCACTTACGTGCCAATACCCATAGGAAAGGTATGAATCCTCCTCTTCTTCTCCCAGCTATGGATAAATAGCAGGACAGACCGGGTTCTATAGCCTTGGATGGCAACTGGTCTACCACAGAAAGAAATGGCAACCTGCTGCGGGGGAAAAATATGCCTCATTAGTCATGTATCAAAAGATTACATGATCACCTAAGCATGTATCACGCATGGCACATAACTGATTATAAGAAGAACATATGGACTATCTTTCCTTTTAATCATATATATAAGTCATAAGTAATTTCTGTTTTTGGGAACCAATTTTAATGATGAATATATCATCATGATCCCTCATCATATGTGGCAGTAAAAAATAAATTTGGAGTAAACTAACAAACATTAGTTTTTGCATAGTGGTGGTAGCATACACAGTTGATTAATAAAACTCTTAGCCCCATTAGTAGAGGGATTGAAAGTGCATTTACGTCTCATAATGATATGAGAGTTCAAGCAAGAAAATAAAAGGAATGAATGGAAATGCTGCCATCTATAAAAATATGTAAGGTTTATGGTCAAGGAGTCATAACTGATAAAATGTATAAAAAAAGTGCTTTAGTTGCTACATCATTAACAGTAAATTTATTTCCAGATTCCATTCTCTGTTTATTTTGCCTTTCTTGGTAGACATTCTATATAAAAATTTAAATATTGTTTTCACATATATATATATATATATATATATATATATATATATAATAGAAAAAACAACTAAAAAGTTACAAATAAAAAAAAATAATCTTTTTTTTATGAAAGTATTTATTTATATTTGATATTTCAGATCAACCTGAAATATAAATAAATAGATCGATCTGAAATATTATATATAAATAAATACTTTCATAAAAAAGATTATTATTTTTTTAATTTGTAACTTCTTAGTTGTTTTTTCTATATATATATATATTTAGTAGTAATAATCTTATATGTATAAGAAATTATACTTCCCTGACGATCCACTTGGTAGGTTTGTCTGGCTCTCTAGGTTTAACTAGATATATCTTTTAGAAAGAATCTTTAGGTATACAAGTATGAATTTAACAGCAAAAAAATGTCGAAAAAATTTTTCTTGTTGATAAAAAAACAGACGACATGCGTTGAACGGATTTCAAAATTCATTGAAAAATACACCCCTACCCTCCCTAGACTTAACCTCTTTTTCAAACATAACTCATAATTGATACATTAATTATTTACTAAAAATGAACATGCTACCACCCCTGTCTAAATGATTGGATTTCTCTGTATCCTTGGAAACAAAAAATTATGAATTTGTGTGTGCTTAAAACTCAGTAAATTTAAAAATAAGTTATTCCAAAATTCACTTGACAATGAAACAGAACTAATGCTTTTAATTTAAATTATATAATTAAATTTGAAGTTTTTAGCTCTGGTTTTTGAAACATAGTAATTCCTGTGTAGCGAAGAAACCATATTTTAAATCCGTTAATTTATAATATTTATGCTCTGTATATTTACATTGAGCACTGTTTTATAAAATATCAATAAGAACACCAGATTATATATCTTTACTTTCTTTTTTTTATTATATATATATATATATATATATATATAAATAAAAAGAAAGAACAGTAAGATATAAAATCCGTGTTCTTATAGATATTTTATTTTTAAATATTTTAGATAGATATATCTTATAGATATTTTATTTTTAAATTTACAGAGCATTAATATTATAAATTAATTGATTTAAAATATGGTTATTTTATACAGTTCCAACCATGTTTCAAAATAGAAGCTAAAAACCCTAATTTTATTTTTTGCAATTAAATTAAAAGCATTAGAAGATTCGCTTGAAGATGAAATGGAACTAATGCTTTTAATTTAATTGCAAAAAATAAAATTAGGGTTTTTAGCTTCTATTTTTGAAACATGGTTGAACTGTGTAGCTAAAATAACCATATTTTAAAATAATTATATTTTAAATCAATTATATTTATAATATATATATATATATATATATATATAAATAAATAAAATGCTATTCAAATATTTCTGCTTTTCCATGACTTAATGTTTCATGTGGGCCCTCAGCTTGCTATACAGGTGTTTTACAGTCTTCATGTGTTTCAAAGGCCGAGATACTCAATTCTGTATTTAAGGTGGCTTTTATGTAGTTTGTGGTATATATTGTGTTACAAGGTGAGTGGTCAGAGAAGGGTTGAAAAGAGATAGTTACCAATATGGGTATAACATTACCATTTAAAGGCATGTTGTTGGTGAACTGTATGTATGCATCAACATATATATAGATGCCGATAGCCTAAAGGTGAGAGACTCCAACTGATGCCAAATTCATTGTGTTTCAATTCTGGCTTGAACCAATTGCATGTCTAGTCACACTGATGAGCTGTGATACTGTGAAACAGTCTGTCTGTGGATGACTATATATATATATATATATATTTGTTTTCTATGTCTGACCAACCCCTTGCAGGTTATTTAAAGCCATAAAATATTTTTAAATTGTAAGAATTTGAGTGGGGGTAGATAATGATGATTTAGTGACACAAGTTATACTAATTAACCCATAGCTGGGGGGGAGAAAAGGTACATTCATACCTTTTCCCAAGGGTATTTGCGTATAAGGGAATATAATGAAGCCATCTGGAATTGGAACTTGTCTTTCCAATTAATAATTCAAAACCATTATCCATTACACCACCCACATGTCCAAGCTTAAATCACCTGGTATTCCCAAGTGGTCACCTATCTAGGTACTGACCAAGCCTGATGTTGCTTAACTTCAGTGATTGTACTAGTGTTTCAACATGATGTGGCTGTAAGCCCCATTATTTTTGAGGAAGTGTAGTGACTTTAAAATATCTTGCTACTCTTTATTCTTGTGGAAGACATTGGCAAGAACATAACCTTTTTATTGGGACAGCTGAAGAATAAATAAAAGGACAGTCTTGTTCAGCTACCCACAAAGAACAGCAAGCAGCTGCAATAATGAAGAAAAAACACATTCACATTTCTTTTCCATTTTCCCTGGTTTACAATGACATGACTGCTAACAGGATGGCTCTTTGATCTTTTATATGGTTTATTGATCTGCAAATATTGATTAATATTTGGTGATGAGGTCAAAAGGTTTATCATTATTGCTTAAGAAATCTATTCTTGTAAACAAAACCAGTTCTGATCAATTTTGCTAATATCTGGACTTTCTTTGTTAATTCTAAATTCACTCATGTTTTGTGGGGTAATAAAACCATTTTTAAACCTGTTTTTAACGTTTGTGGAACTGGAATTTTTTTTTAGCTTAGTCTTTGATTTGAGGAATTTTTTTTATTTTTAGCTTTACAATTCTGATTTATGAAAATGATATTTTAATCATTTCATTTTTAGTTTTTTTTAATTCAGTATTAAATTTTAAAATTATATTCTATAATTACACTTATTTTATTAATATTAAAATCTCATAATCCATTAGGGTCTAAGGAGCGCCACACGTACTGCAGCCACAGTAGCATTGGTGTTTCCTGGGCAAGATGGCCTGACAGAGCCCAACCCTCTCCAAGCTGGTTTGAATTTATACTTCTCCTAGACTGGTTGCCAATCAAGGGCCCAACTTGACCTGCTATTTATCCATAGCTTGGGGGGATGGATTTATACTTATCCCAGGGGTATTAACTTGTAAGTGAATGTAATGAACTTGACTGGAATTCAAACTCAGCTCTCTGATTCCGCAGTTTGAGCTGCAATGCATAAATCCACTGTCCCTGCTATTTACTTCCATTTTTTTTGCTTAGAATTATTTATCCTTTTAACTTTTTCGAATTATTTAACATTTCTTAATTCAATGTCTTCCAAAATTTACTTTTTTTTTTTTTACTTAATTTAACCTAAATTTAGTATTTAATATTTTTTGAAAACACATTTTCAATAAATAAATGTGTGTTC